GTGTCTTGCACGGGGAACTCCCGGCGGCGTAAGCAATCTATCACTGGTACTGCAGGATTCGGCCCCCGATCAGTAGATCTGCATCTGTAATCCTTTGACATAGACTAGACTAGGTCTAATTGGATTAGCCTATTAGGTTTTACTTAGACCGAAAATTTCTGTCTCTTTCGATCGTTATCCTCTTAAATAGGTAGAGTCGGCTCCTCTCCGACCCGACGCTAAAGCCTTAAGTAAAGGCTTCTAAAAACGATTCAAACAGCGGGTTGGGCACGAAGAACTTTGCACATCGAGCGCTGTATGAGTGAGTTTACATGCTCTCATTGACCGATTTCTACATGCATGTGACATGATTGTCCATGTCCAGGTCGCTAGTGCTCAGTCATTGATTAATTTATCCCCCTTAAATGCACATCTGCCAACAAAAGATGGATTATTATTAAAGGGGACTCTTGGAACCCTATGATGTATGCGCACCTGACATGTCACTAGGGAGGCCAATACCTAAATATAACTTTTTAATTGCTAATTTATTTATAATAAAACAAAGTTTGAAAGAAAGTATTTTCTTTAACTAATACAACTCACCCATCTGCCGATTCAAAAAATTCCATAAAATAGAGATATCCAGCTCTGAAGTTGGAGGTTTCTTCTACCCTAATCTGTCCGTAAGAGCCTTGAAACAATCATATTTCATGTCGCAAAATTACGTTCATAATTAGACAGGCCCATGGGGATAAGCGTGTCATTGCCCGGACAAAGTCCACAATTACGTTTAAAACTTCGCGCAAAAGTACATTCACTCGTCTACGGCTAGCCTTGAATCGTTCGCACACGTACACACCGACACAGGCAAGCCCCGATCCAGGCTGAAATCCAGCCATCCATGTGCGTACGACTACATCTACTACTACTACTACGAACCGAAGGCGAAGGTTAAAAAATGAAGAAAAGATATCAAAATTGGCAGAAAAGAAATAGATCTAATTCATTGATATTTACCTTATTCCAATAACTTGATTTCCTCATAAGTATTCCTTATGATTCGGTCGGAGATCTACTGTACAATCAACAAGAACGACCTCCAAAATCAGCGCAACACATTATTTAATCCCCGGAATGATACTATGCGTGCATATCGCATATGTACCTGGATATCTCTTTCTCTCTCTAGCTCTAGCTATACGTGACAACTATGTATCATGCACTCGCATCATCATCCAATCATGTCTTTTCAACCAAACTTCTCAATTGGAGTATAGACTGCTCACATAGACATTTTTTACTGAAATATCTTTTGTAACATTTCTCATATATGACTTACTGTACAAGCTCGACACTCGTGTCTAGTGCTGTGAGAATAAGGTACTGCGTGTGAGACTACGCTACATTTGTTTGGCGCGTGATGTGACCGGAGCTCATACATATTCATATTATGATGTCGCAAGACCTCTATTTTTGGCTTGAACAATGACATCACTGTTCACAGTTTTCCTTCTCAATTTGAGATGGCTGTAGCTATCGGGCCCAAACCAACGCAAGATTGACTTAAACATCATACTCTATCTATCTTCCAATGTCCAGTTGGTAAAAATATGTATTTAAAAAGATATAATCTTTTTTATTTATATTTTCTAGCTGTTAAAAGTGGCATTTGTGAACATCTGATACGTTAATCTCTATCAAAAGTTCTTTGACTTAAATCGGATTCCACATTTTTAGGGTCTACCTTCTGCCAATGAGAAGGATTTTAGTGAGCTAACCTCTGCGCCCTCTAGGCAGTGTAATTTTGACATTGCAAAGACAAAGATTTCCAATGTAGCTTCTAAAAGTCAGGTCAGCATCCGGTCGCAGGCCCCTTTCATGGCGGCTTAAGAGAATTAAGGAGAAAGAGAGAGTGATGGAAGAAAAGGAAGAGAAGAAGAGAGGAAAAGTAAAGAGAGGGAGAAGGGAAAAAAGAAGAAATATAATCGCTACTCTTAGTAATGGGTCGGCTACGTATTTGATAAGATGGAAACCAAATCCCACGCAAGTTATGCATATAGCCTGCACGGCTGCACCAATGAATGAATCATAGGATCGGAGGAGGGGGGATTCGGCCCTGGCCCTCCCTTTTTGGCGGCCTAAGTACATGAAAATGGGGGGAAAGAGAGAACAAAAGAAAAATGAGGAAAGAAAGCGACAATAATGTAAATAAAAAGAAGATAGAAAGTGGAGGAAAAGGAGGGAGAGAGAGAAAAGGAACAATATGAAACTTAAATTTACACATACAGATCACATTTACGTAGAGTTGACTCAACAAAAGAAAAAGAGAGAGAGAGAGAGAGAGAGAGGGGTTATTTCTAAAATGAAATGAAAAGGGCTATTACAATTTACATTTCTCAGGACGCCAATTTTGAATTTGCCATATATTGTTAAAAAATTAAAGAATTTTCTAGGGCTCCACCTCTCAATGCAAAGGCTGGCCCCATCCGTAAAGAAGGAAGTGGTTTCCAAGACAACCTTTTGTTGTACAAAATTCTCCTTGGCTTGGGAGAGGGTGTGTGTTTCCTGTTGTTTTAAAACCTTCTACCAACCTTAATATTTAATAGGCAAGGTTTCGTCCCCTCTTTCGGACTTTGAACTACTCACACTATTTTTCGCTGTTATCTGCCTTAAAATCACTGGAGCAGACAGAGATAGGTTGAAATTAATAGCCAGAGTCTTTATTTATTTATTCAAGGATTAATCTTTTTATACAGATGGATTCTTCTACCATTCTTGACCAGAAGTTCATTTTAAAGTCAATATTGGGGGCATCATCCCATTGAGTGTTGTGTCCAGTATTAAGGGTATGTTCTGCTACTGATAAATAAGATGGAATGCTCAATCTGAGGGCTTTTTTGTGCTCTTTAAATAGAGCACACAATAGGGGTAGTACAATTTAAATTTCAATGGATGGATTATAGTTTTTATCGCTCAAGACGGTTATTTGTCTTAAGGTCCTGAACTGCTAAGACTCGAGAGCGTCCTGGGGTTCCACTCTGGAATAAATACAAAAATCCATATAAGAGGCATTTTTAAGGTCTTCAGAAAATTTCATCAATTTCTAAGAAATTTGGTGTTCATTTTCAGGAAACTCTATTTTGATAAGTGGAAGCACTAGCCCTGGAGTCTTTTTCATTAAAAAAAAACTTTAACAAGTCAGATATAGATCTAAAACAAGCCTTAAGAAGTAGATTGTCTAAGTCTGAAACAAAATTGAGTGATGTTGTGGCCGGCTTTCCAGCAATCAAGTGTACATTGTTCTGCTTAAGTTGAAGTATACGATTGACTGTAAGAGTTTTCAGGCAAATGGCATCCCATGTTTCATAGAAATCACAATAATTGTGCCCAAAATTTTGATCAAAATTCAAGCAAGAACAATGAAAATTTTACAAGAAAAGGTGGCAGTCTAATTTTGACTTTGCAAAAACAAAGGTTCACAAATTAACCTTAAGCCAAAGCCAAAACGCCGACTTCTGACAAAAGTTTGTGATGTTTGTTCTGCCAGAAACGCTAATGCACGCAAACCATGGCAACGAAATATGTCCAGAGTCCAGATTACAAGGTAGAAAAAATGTGTAATCTACTAACTGATAGAAGCTGCAAAAATTCTTACATATAAATTACCAGCTGTGGCAAGTTGAAATACAGCATAAAAGCTTGCTGACATGAAAGTACAGTGGCTGAATTAAAAGCGCATTATGAAAACACTTAAGGTACAGATCCAAATCACTGACTGAATCATCTAGCCTTATCGGCTTGGTGATTTATCATAGTTGATGAAATATGATATTGATATCACGAAGCCTTACTGGCTATCCATTAGCCTGCACTATGAACATGACTGACAAAGAAAGCGAACAATATACAGTTCCTCAGGTAGACAAAGGAATATCCCTTCACTGCTATTATGTAAAAATGTTTAGAACAGGTGTCACATGCATATTCACTTTTTACATAATAGCAGTGAAGGGATGTTCCTTTGTCTACCTGAGGAACTGTATATTTTGTCCGCTTTCTTTGTCAGTCATGTTCGTAGTGCTGTCTGGAGAGTTTTAGGGTATAAGCAAAAAGCAAAATTGTGAATTACACATTCCTGCACATAACGAACCTTGCAAATTCGGCGTCGCTGAAGAGGGAGTCTTATTTTATTGATGCAACAGACTTCAAATCTGATCAAGAGTTACTGACTAAAAATGCGAAACACATTTTACTGGAGTGATACACCTTTGCTTACTTTTCTTATGTTGGCTAATTATAAAAATGTTCACCTCTAACTCTGCTGAGAGTTTGCGATGTTAAACGTGGCCAGAAATACAAGTACCTGTAATGATCTGATCTTCCATAAGGCTGATTTTGCATCGCCAATTTGATGCTGACTTCATGACATTAGCGATTAGTAGTTCAAAAAAGCGTGTGCTTGTAGTGTTGCAAAATCAGCTATTTAGCTGTTAGAACCTCTTGAGACTGAGAGTTTTCCTGCGCTAGGGCTAGGCCTAAGTTTCTGGGGAAAATATCAGCATCATCTGATGTTATGCTATGTTTATGATGTGCATGTGTGTGTGTAATTTGGTTTCAACAGATACATATCCAGCATATATGATTATTTACGTCTGGGACCAAAAGTTTAACATTACCATCCAAAAGACTTGGCTCAGTTTCAAACTTGTGGCTGATCAGAGTCAGTATGTACATGTAGGGTAAGATAGTGTTAACTGTGCCAAGGACATTACCACTACTACTAGACCAACTTGCATCTCCCAAAATTAAATCATCTTTCATTCGGCATTGGTTCAAGGATGACATTGAATTCGTTATAGAATAATTTCTTGATTACGCGAGCTATGGCATGCTCTTGTACACATTTTATGAAGGATAAAATCACCACAATAATGCTGGCATCCTGTATCAAGTAACAGTAACAGAGTTTTTAATGGAAAGATCTTTGTTTTAATTGGCCTCTTATGACATTGTACAGTGCAATTGAATATCTCTATGTTATGTCAAGTACTTGGCTACCAGCTATATTAATGCCTTAAAAATTAATTACCCAGGTGTTTTAGCAGTTTGCTGCAGAACTTCTTTGTGTTATTACAGGACACTCGTAGTACGCATACCGGTATTGCACTGACAAGCATCCCATTCCCTAGATGACAAGCTAAGTTGTTTTGCTAGTTTTGATTATTTGGAACCTATCGCTTCATATAAATTGAGTGTGTGGGAATAACACAAGCCTGTTGTAGTGGATGTTTAGCAGAATTACACGTTTAGGGACAACAAATGGCACCTGCTCCAACTCAGAAGCGTTCCTATCTCTCTTACCTTTCAGAGTCCCCTGTGGATGGTCTTAGTCAGATATACAGGAGACCTTTCGACGGAGACGAGATGCCGATCCTTTACGCCGTCATCGCCCGCGGCACCACGGTGCTTGCAAACTATGCGGCCTGCCAGGGAAACTTCACAGAGGTGACGGAACAAGTCCTGATGAAGATTCCTCCGCAGAATGCCAAGCTGACCTACTCACATGGAGCCTACCTCTTTCATTATGTCTCAGATGAGAGGATTATCTATATGTGCATCACAGATGATGTGAGTTCTTTTCTTAGACCCAAGATGTGCAGATCCTTTTCATCATTTTCAATGTGTAATACTAGAATATTTTGATGGTTCTTTTATGATTATAAACACAACGATATAGTTTCTCATATATATATTACATATTTTTACAATGTGTGACCAAAACAAATTTCCATGTATTCTTGTGGATTTGGATGAAAAGGAAAAGAAAAAAAAGGAAGAAAGAAGTATCCCTAGATCAGTTTTCCAATTTCCATAGACTTTCACATACCTGCCAACCACCCCGATTTAGGCGGAGTTCCTCCGCTTTTTACATACCAACTCCGAATTCCGAGTGCATGCCTCAAAACTCCGATTTTTTTAAATTTAAATGTTTTTTTTTTTTTTTTAGAGTGTAATGCACTTGGAGAGTATATAACTATTATGTTTGTATTTTGAAATGTAAAGCGCCTTGAGCATGTTCATGTAAAGGCACTCAATAAATACCAATATGTATGTATGTATGTATAAGACTAAAGCATAACACAGCACTGATAACCAGATCACGCCGACATCCGCGCTCGCGCTCATAGAAGATGTACACAGCGCAGCCCGAACGTGATCGTTAGTTCCGCAGTCACCCCCTGTGTACCCCCCCCCCCCCAATCTACGGGCTACTACCCCAATCCTTCGGTGGTTCACGACCTCGTAGTCCATCCAGAAAATTTACTCCTAATTTCTCTTGTCTCAGGTTGGCAGGTATGCTTTCATATGATTTCTTCGTTTTCGTTTACCAGATTTGTCTGTTTACCGGGTACAGTTATTTACATGTTTTCTTTGACCTGATTGGGCCCTTAGATTGAAATGCTACAAATGTAAAAATAGAATTATTGAAACCAGCATTTTCCTTTTTTAAGTTACACACAATGTGTCATTATAGCAGTTTGCTTGAAGATTGAAATTATTCTGCATGACTGGAAGGGAATCATAACAAATGCTGTCTGCAGATTTCCAGGTTTCTGTTATGATTTAATGCAATGTTTGACAACAAAATAATGTTTAATGAATGGAGAAAGAGAAAGATAATCAAAAGTGTTTTTATTTCATATTTCTATGGATTTTCTTTAAGTCTTTGTTTTTATTCTTTTCAGGACTTTGAAAGATCAAGAGCATTTGCATTTCTACAGGAGATCAAGAAGAAGTAAGGATTTGTTAATTTCTTTATTTCCAATTGTAATTTGAAGTTTTTGAGATGAAAGTTCTTTTCTTTTCTTTGATTTCTTATAATAGAGCTGCATTTTTAGTTTGAGATAAGTGGGCTCTAACTATTTCTAGCTTCTTTACTCTAAAGTATCAAAAGGATTGAATGTGACAGGAAAGTGTTAACAATCTTGCCAAAGACTTGCTGAAAAGTGTACATTGTCTTGATTGGCCTGTTGGTAAATTTGTCTATGTTTTGTTGTTGTTTTGCTCTTTACTCAATAATTAGATACATTATTTATATTGAATTAGGATGGCAGGTGTTATTGATTTTGTTTACTGAATATCAGCTTAAATTCTGTGAGATTATACTTATTTCATTTATTACCCTTGCATTAACAATGTATAATTTTCTTGTCGTCATTTGCTACAGGATTATTCCAGGTTTAAAATAGTTTGAAAAAATAATTCAGTCAAAAAGAACTTCTGGGGAAATGCCATCATTTCAACGAAGAAACATGTATCTAAATTGCTATCTTTCAAGTTTAAGTGTCATTGAATTTATGTGTATTTTAAATAGAAACTGAAACAAGCTTTCCTGTAGATAATTTTAGAGTTCATGTTGTATTTGTATTATCCTACTCATAGATTCACGGCTACCTATGGGTCCAGAGTACATACAGCGCTTCCTTTTGCAATGAACAGTGAATTCTCAAGAGTACTAGCTGCACAAATTGTAAGTCAAGTAAACAACAAATGCCCACAATGGGAGTTTGCTCATTATTTTCAACATGTTTATTAAAGCAGAAAGAACAAGAATTGCAGACAAATTGTGCCAATAAGTGTTAAAAAAAGATACTTCACATACAATAATGAAAATGCAAAAAGAAGAGGAATCCAAGAACAACACAAAGTTTGATTAAATTCATTGATAAACACTGACTAAAGGAAACACATCGTGCGCAATAATTAGATATGATACAGATGCAGGCGCTCATAAGCGGCTCCCGTGGCTGAATTTACTTTACAGTGGAATTACCCAAGAGGTAACTCTGTTTTCTATTTTGATGGTTATCCTTTTCATGAGAGGGTTTTGTTTCAATAAGATTAAATTTGATCTTATATGATATCACACAAGCATATACGTAAACATGAATTTCAACCTGTGAAATCTTGTGCATTGATCTACTACTGCTGTTTGTGCTGTTTCGACTAGACTGCATTTATTGCTTGTTTAGAACTGATAAGAAGGAGCATTGTCTAGATCAAACCTGATAAGGATGCACTTGAAGGTATTGTAAGCTTAATGAATACACATGTATGAGATATCTATGTAAAACAACACCTCAGTAATACATGTAGTGAGACTACTCCAAGGCCACTTGTATTTATTTTGATTAAGATTTTTCTTCTTGAACATTTATATAATTTTTTTTTCTGTGGGGGATGGGGGGGGGGGGGGAGGATATTTCTTCACTTAATCATTGTATGAGTTAAGTTAATGTCCATAAGACTTTGGATTGGCTTGCATCAGCCACTTGTTGAAGACAAGAAAACTTTCAAGCATAGATTTAAATAACTGTTTACATGTATGTACTTTTTATGACAGTGTTGGAAAGTCAGTTTATTGAATCTTGGAACTGTCAGGAAGTGGTGTATCACTATCATTTGATGTGATACTATGAATGCCAGATCTTTTCCCTTCATTTCCTGTACTTTAACTGAAAATTCCTCCTTGACTCTTTCATTTATATTAATCGCTTCTAAGAGAAAAGTATTACTTGCTATTATGAAATATCTGGTGTGAAACTTATTGGGGAACTTTGCAAAGATGCAATCTCAGGCAAACTTCCATAATACTCAAGTATGCTCCCCAAACCACTTCATGTTGTATCACATACTGCACACTCAACAATGTTTCAAGAGAAATGATGAGATACATATTTACTTGCAATTGTGGGGAATCTTATTTTGAAATAATTTTTAGTGTGAGTTATTTTATTATATTTTTAAATAAGTTAGTGTGATTGAGAGTTGATATGTACACCATCAAGTAACAAGAAGGGGCAAAATCATAGTTTGATGTGAATTTTTTACATGAATTTCTTTCAAACTTTGTTTATGCTGACGGAAAGTATATCTACCATTTTATTACTCACGTAATCTGTTGAAGTGAATAATAGCCAAGAAACAAATGTATATCAGTGACAGAAATAAAAGTGAGAAGCTAACAGAATAAAAGATAAAGAGTATTTCATTCTGTTAATGATACAATCCATACTATCCTGTACGTGTAGTTAAATATTTTGTTGATATTCTATGTTTAAATTAATGTTTTCGGCAGAGATACTTTGCACAACCATTGTCTGATCACACAAGGATGTCAGAAGTACAACAGGACCTGGAGGAACTCAATCAAATTATGGTCAGAAATATTGGTAAGAATTATGCTTGATTTTAATTTTTAATAATAGTGTAAAACTTCCCTCAAGATTGTTGAACTGAAATTATCATTTCATGCTTTGTAAAGCCAAAACAGAATTATGCTTTTAATATGAACTTCTTCCTTAGTAAACTGAAGTTTATAATAATGCTTGTGACCAAACAATTCCTTTAACCAATACTTACCATTTTTCTAAAGAGAGAAACATTACTATGTTGCAACATAATATGTCTACTACTGCCAGTATCACAAGGCAGATAATATTCCTGAAACAGCCTTGAACACTCTTGAATAATATATAATAATAATATAAAATACAAGGTTAATGTATGTTTGCCATTATTTGATTATTACTGTTTAGGACCTTCAACATTATATTTTTTTAAAAACCTGAGTAAAAATCAGTAAATTAATTACAACATAAATTTGACTTTATATTTATCAATCTATCAATTTTTGTAAACATATGTTTATTTTTCATTATTGGAAAACAAAATTTTGATTGGTTGTATCAGGGAAGCCGTTTAGTTAGTCATTGTTTACAGCACTCTGTAGTATTCCAAATCTGTTCTGAATGTTGGTTCCCTTCAGGGTGATACATGTATATTTCTTTTCTGTCATCATCTTCCATTTTCCATTTGCTTTTCTTTTTTTCCCCCTCCATTTCAATGCGTTTTTCTCCTTGCTCTTTTAGAGTCTGTGTCAAATCGAGGAGAAAGGTTAGAGCTCTTGATCGATAAAACGGAAGACTTGGAAACCACAGTAAGTTTATATACTTTACTTTGTGCTGACATGCATTCACGATACTATCATATGATTTTCAATATTGTATGGGCTTTCAAAAAGAGTAGCTCAAGTGCCCACAGCTGGAAAAACAAGGCATTTTTACCGTGTTTGTCAGATAAACCGTACAGGTGTTGTTTACTTTCTATGTAAAGTTGTCATAGTCGAGTGGATACGTCACCAGACTGTCGATGACAAGGTCTGCGGTTCGTGACCCGCCGCGGCACTAATGTCCTTTGGCAAGACATTGATATACTTTTGCCACACTCAACCCAGGTGATGTAAATGGGTAACTGGCAGGAATTAATTCCTTGAAATGCTAGAGCGCTGTAATGGCAGCCATGCTAAAGCCAGGGTAATAATCTCTCTCTGCCTCTCAGAATAGTTTACTAGATCGATGGTGCGTAATAAATTCTGTAATATTATTATTATGTGTAGCTTAATCTTCTTTCTCTATCATACATATTGAAATTAATTGATGAATACACTAAAATAAATGTGTTTTCTGACTCATATTGAGAGAAAAGGAGAGACATGAGTGTGATGAAGGGCAGAGGATAAGAGGGAGGATTAGAGATGGGGCGAGAGAGAGGGGGAAGGTTCAAAGAAATGAAAAGAAGAAAACAGAGGAACAGATCGAATGCTTTTGATATAAACACCTTTTTGAATCTGTACCTAATTGTATGTTATGATATTTGTCATCTCTTTCAGTCACTTACATTCAAGAAGAGCAGTAAAAGCCTGGCCCGATCTATGTTCATGAAGAACTTGAAATTGATCATCATCTTGTCAATAGTTGTAATTGTAAGTACCAGTATTTCTTCTCAGGAGTTTGTGATTGATTTGACAAAGTTCTTATTTAAAAGTACTGATCAAAATCAATACAAAATTTGCTCCATGAAATGGTCATCTATTTTAATATAAATATGAAGAGGAAAGGAAGGGAAAATCCATACCCTCAGATTTCTTTATTTGTATTCTATTTATTAAAAACAAAACAATCAAGAGTACATGTTGTCATTGTCCTTTAAAGATCTTGATAATTCAATACAAATACAGACCTTATTTAGAAAATATCTTATCTTGATTAATATACCAATTGTATTTATCTGTAAATTTTCTAGTGTAACTTTTTTCAAGAGATGCAGAAGAAAAATAGGCCTACATTTATGGTAGAAGAGATATTTTGTGAATTTTCCCATAGTAACAAATAAAACGTTGATATGACGCTTGCTCCGATGATATTTACTCTAAGATCACATCTTCAAAGATATAGGGTTATGGTTAGGGTACATTTAGGTTGCATACTTTCAGATTAGGTTTAGGATGAGGTGTAATGTTTGTACCAGGATTCAATTTAGGAGTTCAGTTCATGAAAGAAATCAACTTTGAAGGCCTTTTTTGCTGGAGTTTGTGTCTTGGAACTGATATAAGTCTTTGAATAGTTGCACTAGAATTTTAAGTTTTTATAAAGACCATACTCCTTTTATGTGAGAGACTGTAACTCAGCATTATAATGTTATTGCAAGGTGATAGTTTGGTTGCTACGTTTGAATTTGATATACCAGTAATATTAATGAAAGCTCTTTTTATTCACATTCATTTTATAAGCTTTTGTTTCATATTTGTTGTCTCCCTCCTTTCATCATTTCTTCTTCTATCAAAGACCCCAATCAATGTCCCTACTTGATATTCATGATTTTATCTGGCATTTAATTCATCAAGTCTAATATTTCTACATCAATCCTTTTTTTCAGTTGGTAATATACTTCATTGTGTCTGCAGCATGTGGTGGACTTGACTGGAATAGGTGCGTCAAATAGTGATCAGCAATTCAAAGACATTTGTTTTTATAAAAGACACTTATTTTCTATTCTGTGGATTATTGGAGGAATGCCAAGTCGATGGAATCATAGTACAATTAGGTGCAGAAATGTTCATAGAATTTGACTTATTTCTATGCTCTGTGAAAACCAAGCAAGACATGGAGAAGTAATCGTGCTTGAAAATTTGGGGTGATGCTTTGATGGAACTGCTGCTTTTGACCATACTGGACCATGTAGACAGAAGGATTAAACAGGTATTTTCTCATCAGCTCTTCAAAGCTACCATAGTATAGCCAACATGGTATGCTTCTGTTGTTGTTGTTCATTGTATAATAAACATATCCTTGAAAAGATACAACTTTTATACATTCTTCATTCTCAGCCAAGCATAATGAAATGGTCATATTCTATTAAAGCATGTATTGATATTTTTTTCTGTCCAGTTTGTCGTCAGAATCTGTCAAAGTTCAACTCAGTACTTGTACAATGTAGTTATGAAGCCTTTATCAAATATATTGTGATTTTATTATGAAGATTTAATATTTCAGGTGCCTATTATAGCAGAACTCATCCAGATTATCAATGACAAAGACAATCATAATTATCCCTTCATAGTTGAGTACAATAACTAGATCATCTCCCACTTAAAATAGATAATTATGCAGGTCTATGACAATATAGATCATACCAGCTGATTTTTGTAATGGGAGATTGTCCATTTCAAGATAAAGGTGAGCTCTGGTCATCGCATTGCATTGTGAAAGAAAAGGTGTGGAATGGATCAGAAAAAGTTGTTCATGTAAGTATTGGTGTGTACTGCAAAGTTCTGGAGTCATTAAAATCATAATAAATTTGGCCCAGTCTTGGTAAAGTGACAAGCACTGTACACAGAAAGATGTATATAGGACTACACAAATGGTGTCAGGGCTACCAACCTTGATTTCCTAATCTTTCTATGCTCATTACTCAGCCAGTATACATTTTCTACCAAAATTGTTTGGCAAATGACATTTATTTGTAATCTTGAACATTCAATGTAAGTTTCGTTTGATTCTGTGAGAATTTATTTTCTTTTTTTTTAACCAGAACTCACCTTTATCTGTAAACTATGAAGCAGTCACAACTATTGATACTGAATGATACCAATGAATATTTTTTTTTCTTCACATGAGTGGTATTGATGTTTCTATATGTATCTATTGCAAAACCACAAACTTTGGCGAATTGTTTAATATTTGCTGTTGGAAATTGCCAAAATATACCACTTTCATTCAAGTATTGATAAACTTTCAGGTTCTTAATAACATATTTTTGTTCATAATTTCGACAAAATTAGCTAGATCAAGTGAGTCTGTGATCGCTAGGTGATTTGAGCATCATGTTTGCAGATGTAAGGTCTCCTGTTATACTGAATATTTTATTTAAAGGGTGTTATGTGATTGTTGATTTGAAACAGTAAACAGAAGAAAATCATAATATTTATCATTTATGTCAGACCTGTGCAAATGCTTACAACCAATTGGAATCTACTTTATCAATTGCAATTCAATAGAAATTTTAACTTCGAATTCAAAAATTCATGGATCATGGCTGTGAAAAGAACATTCAGCTCAGTATTAAAGTGTGAGAGATTTTTTTATATAAAAAATATCTTAAAACTTGGGAGTGATCATGAACATTGATAAAGTGCTGACTCACATCTGAGAGCCTTGATCAGACTTACCGGTAGTATGTTTCTTTGTTGGATCCATCCTGTGTAAAATCTTAAATTGAATTGGAATCATTCTTGTTTCTGTGGCAAGGACATGGGATCTTGCCCTCTAAACATTGCCTCTAGAAGTGTTTTTTTAAAATAAATTTAATAAAGAGATGATGTAAAATTCAAAGACCAGAAAGTGCCCGGAAGATAAATACTTTTTCGCTGTGTCATGAGATTATCTTGATGGTTATGAAATGAAATAAGAATCATGAATTTGATGCATGATATTGCAGAAAATTAAATGCTTTGAACCAGGATGTATGGGCATATATTTAAGGGTTTAATAATATTACATGTACCCTTTCCAGAAGGCAGTGTCAATATCGCTGGCCTCCTTTCCGAGTCGATAGCCTTGCTGGTAGGTTTTTCCCTTGTAGGAGCTTTGGAAATTTGAATGCACACTTTTCCTACCAAAATACAAATAATTTGATCTAAAATAGTCTATTGATGGTTATCATATAACAAGATGAAAAAAGAACTATATCTGTAACTGTATCAAGGATGAATCATTGAGTATTTTTGCTGGGTTGCTGGTTATAGAATGATACGCTTTTTTAATCAAGATCTTTGAATGTTAACCAGTACCTGGCAACTATACCATAAAGAGCCTGTAATGAAAGTGGTGGGTCAGCATATTTGGGCACATTTTGATAACTCAATTTTTGTGTAAATGTGAAGTTATTGTAAGGCTCTCTTTACGGCCACCCCATAAATCGATCACTCGGGAACCAAAATCAGTCAAACAAATCATCAGAAGAAGCACTAAAATAATTATCAAGTAACTCTCTTATAGTATCTAGCAGAGTATATCATTCCTCAAGTGAACGACTCACAAAATATTTGTGCATTTACATGTAGGATCAAATATTCATTCCGTGATATGCAGTTCATTGACTTGAATTTCAGGTGTTTCAAACCTTGATCATGTGAATGCTTCACTGATATTGTCAACTTCAGAATACAGACATTGCTACTTTTATAGAATGTTGGCATTTTCTAACTTCTACAATTTAATGAGATGTTATCACAATTTTCTAATTTGTTCTGCTTTCTTCAAAACTTTCATAAATATATTTTTTTAAACATTTAGGGTTGATAATCCTTTGTAAAATCCTTTGTTGCGACGAGATGCCATTCTGTTGCACATTATTTTTGCGCCAATTTACCGCTTCATATCTGCATATAAAAATATGTACATGTGCAAGATAAGTATGCTATTATGTTATTGATATTGAATGTGTTGTAAAATTATTAATAATTTTTTGTAGAACAAACCATTTTCTGTACAGGTACATTTATAGAAGTTTAACTTCATACTGCATTTTTTATTAGTTTCTCCCAAGTGCTTCCGTAGGTCTTTTCTTATGGGTGAATAATACTGGTTTACTATATTAACACTTCACACACTTGATGTATTAAATAATTGTAATTTTGATTGTCTGATTGAACGGGTGTTCCTTCATCTGCAATAAACAGTGACTAAATGGGCTCAAATGAAATGGTGCATTTGGTTAAGAATATGAAATTATTTGTTTGGTCTGGTAGATTTGGGGAAGGAGGCAGTGGGCAGTGGCGGATACAGCCAGTTGGTCCAATTTTTCAGGAAAGGGGGGGGGGGGGGGGGGGGGGGGGGGGGGGGGGGGGGGGGGGGGTGGGGTGAGAGACCACTTTTTTTTTTTTTTTCACCTAATTCGTGAGAATTTTTTTTTTTTTTTAATTTTGTTGTTGTTGACCCGTCAGCCCCCCCCCCCCTGTGGATCCGCGCCTGCAGAGGATCCAGACGGCGTCAAGGGGGGGGGGGGGGGGCTTTTGTTTTTTGTTTTATATAGGTTAACTTTACGTTATTATCCTATTTTTTTATCGTTTTGGGGGGCTGGGGGGGGGGGGGCCGGGTCTGAATAATCGCTCCGTGGATCCGCCCCTGGCAGTGGGACATTTGTAATCTTGGCGATGAAAGAAAATTGAATACCTGACTGAATGTTAAATATGCATTTTATTATATACATGCTAATTGTATTTTTTTTCTTTTATCCTCTTTGCCAAGCAGAGCTAAGCATCCCGTTCTGATTATCTCATATCTATGAACTGAAGTATCTAATATGCAATGTTCTATGTGCTGTTCATATCGTATTATTACGTGATTATGTCATTTGTATACATTTCTTCTGAAATTTCAATGGTATGGGATTTATACAAGGATGATGCTGTTTCATGTTATGGTGTAATTAGTGTAAAAATGTAATGAAAATATTTTTATTATCAATTTAAGCACATTATTTATCTGATTTATGAAATCACTTTATCAAATATTATGTTTGATCTTGAAATATTTTGTTTACAATTAAAATGGATATAACTCAAACATTCCTTTTGAAGCCTCTTTTTTAGACTGATGTACATGTATGTCTTTGTAATGTGCTTTAGTCTCTATACAGACACCAATAGCATGTTAAAAATAAAAGTTATATATTATGTATACGTATTACACTTAACATGATAACAAAGACTTAACCTTAGGAAATGAACCATTTTCAAAATGTAGTCAATGTTATACACATTCACACAAATTCACCTGCGATCTTCCCCCTTTCTTTCATGCTTTTGACAATCCCTTTTCTGAAACCTCCCTCTTTTCTCACACCTCTCTTATCTAATTCCTCACTTTTTTTATTCACACCACATTTCTCTCATTCTCTTTTACTATGATGCTTCTGCTGATTCAAGCTATGTCTTACATCGGGAGGTCCAATGACAACAAAAGCTATGAGACGGCTTCATTTGTATAAAAGCAAAGAAAAACTAATTTAATCTATTCTCAGTTCCAAGCCCACATGCTAATGGATGGGGGTACAACATACAAGGTTTACCTACATGACATGTCGAGCACTCAAGCTCTCAATGAATGCTCAAGGATTTTTACTCCACTACATAATTTGTTGCCAACTACTTAAAGTCACTCAAAAAATATATAAATGTTTTACTTTTCCCTCATGTGTATGATTTGAAAAAGGCTGCTTCTAACTTCAATATCATTAGACATCATGCATTCAATGACATGTTGCTTTCAACAACCCCTTTTCACAATAAGTCGGGCACTGCACGTCTTAATTAGAAAATTTGTTGCAAATATTTTCTTGAAGGAGTATTTTTTTTTACCTGAATCTGAGTTTTTGCCAGTTTTTCTGATCATTAGAAGCTTTTGTCAAGAAAATAATGAATATTTAAAGGAAGAATTGTATTAAAAAGCAGAAGTGTCATATACATTTCTAGAATATCCACCAATTAAATGATATAAAGACAATGTAATGCATAAAGAAACAATATCAAGTGCTTGTATATGATAAAGATTCAACAGGATGACATTAAGGCCCCAAGAAAATGAAATTCATACACACGTGACAATGTAAGATTTTCTGATAATCGAAAGCATGTCTGATCACATGTTAAAACAGCATCAGTTCAGCTGTACTTCAAAAATAGATTTTTTTTCAAGGTAAAAAGAATTAAATTTTATTTCAATTTTCAAGGAGAGGGTTATTGATCCACAAAATCATCCTACAATCAGGACAAGCACTAGCTGGTAGATCAGCTTCCAGGCTTAGATACATGATCAATATAAATACATGAATATGCATATGAACTACAATTAATATGCACCAGCACATAAAACGGGAGAAAACAAAACAGGAAAAGCAACTTAAAACAATTATATACAAGATGACGTAAGGATACAAACGTGAAATCAATAAATAGAAATCGCCAAGCTTATATAGATCAAAGCATTCTTTGGCAGGTATACTGCAAACTACAATGAAAGTATTTTTAACATAGAACAAGAATGCATTATGAATCTACTCTACTCATGATAAATATCTATTTTTAAAATTCTTTTTTTTTGTTCCTCCATAGGTACCCCCACCCCCCCCCCCCCCCCAAAAAAATAAAAAATAAATAAATAAATAAATAAAATAAAATAATCAACAAAAATCATGAAATAATAAATTGTGGTTATCCTGGAAGAATTTACATTAATATCAGATTAGCAAAAATATATTTTACATGAAACATGCAAACAGTTGACAAAAGAGA